GGTAAGAAGGGATGTAATGTATTCCAGTAAGCTTCATGGTGGTTCTGGAATCATTCACATCTCTTCTAAATTAAAATCTATTCGTATAATGCACGTTGTTAATGGTATTTTAGGTAGGGATGTCAAATGGTTTTCATGGTTTAAGTTCTGGCTTGGCCTGCAATTAAGAGAATACAATTTTTCATTATTTTCTAATCTTCAACCTCATGCTTTTTATATGCCTAAATTTTATCAATATTGTTATTCCAATTTTTTAGAATTCTTAAATATAGCCCATAGGAATAACATTAATGTAGATTTTAAAAAATTAACAACTAAATTTATATATCAGGTACTTTTACTGGATATCGTTTCTATTCCTTCTGTTGTTGGGGACAATCCTACCATTGATTTCCCCACATGTTTTAAAAATCTTCATAATAAACATATAGATCCTATTACCAAAACTGTTTCATTCCTCCTCCGAACCGAAACCCTCCCCGTCGGTGGATCGACAGGGAGTCATGCTACCCAGCATCTCGTTAAGAAGCTGGGTATCTGCGATGTTTTCAATGGCGTCCATGGATTCCGCCAGGGTCGCAGTGGATTCCCTGTCCTGAGGGGGTTCTTTACATAAAGATATTTTGCCTTGTTTTACTTCAGGAGTAATAATAGGAATTGCTGAAGGGGTGTTAGCCCCAGCAGCAGCAGACTTTAATTTATTATTGTTGTTATTATTGTTATTTTTATTATTATTACTATTATTATTAATATTTGATTTCTTTTTTTCTTTTCTAGGTGGTGGTGATGGTGGCTGTAAAGCAACTTTTTTGGTTCGAGAACTCAAAGAGGAAGAGTTAGCAATAGCATTAAAAACATTTTCAGATTCGGATGATGACCGCTTCTTTGCGCTATTTTTGGGTGTAAAAAAACCTTCATCATCCACTCTGTTATTTGTAGATAATAAAGTGGTAGCAGGTACAAAGTCTGTTTTCTTGTTGACAGTACTAGTACTATTGGCAACAGACCTCGGAACATTGCTAACTATGTTAGCATATGAGGAAGTCGTAGCCATGGATGACATATGGCACTCCTTCCTCATATGCCCGGGCCTGAAACACTTAAGGCAAATAGGGGCCCTGCCCTGTAAAATGATGAGGGTGTCTCTACCGCCTCATATGCCCGGGCCTGAAACACTTAAGGCAAATAGGGGCCCTGCCCTGTAAAATGATGAGGGTGTCTCTACCGCATAACGAAGAGGTATGCGGGAAAGAATCAAAAGCAGAAGGTTTCCCTTCTAGCAAAACTCTCCCAGTGAGGGTCCTGATGTGCTTAAGACCCTCATGGGAGTAAAATTCCCTATTAGTTGACAGCACTTTACATCCAAAGGACCTAAAAAACTTTTCAATGTCGAAATCTGAGACATATTCTGGTAGCCAGAATAATCTAGCTACCAGACGGGTTCTGTCGCAACCAGAAAGGGAATAGGAATTATTGCCAATCTCCGCGACAGACCCCTTTGCTAGCATATCAGATACTGTGACCTCCGACTCGAAAGTCACGTGAAAAGATCGAGAGGATCGACCCGAGCCCATGGACACTATTGACTTTGGGCCTACCCCCCTCTCCTGCAAAAAAGCCACATAATCATGGCCATATAAAAATTTGCCCCCGGACACCTGGGAAAAAACCAGGGTCCGCCTCTGGACACTAGTCTTGTCCATGACAAAAAGGCAGGGGAGACAAAAACTACCAAAAATCCCTTAAACGAGCCCTAGGTGGACTTAGCGGGTCGTCGAAGCCGAAGCCCGACCCTAACCACCGGAACAGGAAAGGAAAAAAAAAAAAAACAAAAAATACTAGAGCTCGATTCCCACTAGTGGCGATAAATTGAGTCGTTCTCACAAACGCATAAAGCCGGATACTTTTCAAGGCAAAAAATAAAATCATTTTTTTCTGATGGTTTATTGGGGCAATAAATATTTACAAAGCGCACTGGACGGCCATTTACGTTGACATCTAAAACGACTAAACGACCATCAAGATCAAAGTGAAAGCTATCCACAGCATAATCCAAAGATGATCTAAGGAGGATGGCCGCCCCAGAACTCCTATTAGATCCAAAGGACCAAAAACATTTATGTTGCAGAATAAATTCAAAGTGTCTAGCAATGCGAATGCTTGAGACGTGAGTCTCTTGTAAGAAAATAATATCAAAAAGTTCCAAAGATAAAAAGTTATTCAAATAATGAATTTTATTGGGTCCTAACAGACCGTTGCAATTTATGGAAGCAATCTTTAGTCCCATATATAAGTGTTTTTTTTTTAAAAAACAAAGTATCCTAACACTTTCAAGTAGCAAGGTCCGCTTCAACCGAGGAGTCATCAGTGTATCAGCCATATTTATTATGGCATCTTCTGACGAATCAAAGTTGAAGACTGACATGTCTTCTTCTTTACTAACGATAGTGGGGTCAATACACTCCACAACCATGCCGCAAGCTTTTCGGTTTGCAACGGATGTATCATTCAAACTTGAAGCGCGCTGAGGCTTGGTTTTATAAGAATTAGCTCCAGCAGCAACTGATTGAAATTTACTAGATTCGTGACTAGTTTTAGATTTCAAAGGAGAAGAGGGTTGAGCAGCAAATTTTTTTCGAAATAATATTGGACCCGGAATCACTACTGACAGAGCTGATATTAGACTGCGAAACTGTTCGCTTTTTAGCATTCTGTTTGGGAGTGAAAAAACCATCCTCGTCGACCCGATTGGAAGGCACTTTGCCAGTAATAGGAGGTGGTGGTGGGGGAGGATGTGGAGGCTTAGCAACAGCCGAAGCTGGCACAAAACCATTAGTTTGAAGGAATTGA